CGTATCTACCTCCCTTCCCAATCAGCCTTACCTGTCTCTCCAGCTTCCCAATCAGCATTACCTGTCTCTCCAGCTTCCCAATCAGCATTACCTGTCCCTGCAGCTTCCCAATCAGCATTACCTGTCTCTCCAGCTTCCCAATCAGCATTACCTGTCTCTCCAGCTTCCCAATCAGCATTACCTGTCCTTCCAGCTTCCCAATCAGCATTACCTGTCCTTCCAGCTTCCCAATCAGCCTTACCTGTCCTTCCAGCTTCCCAATCAGCATTACCTGTCCCTCCAGCTTCCCAATCAGCATTACCTGTCCCTCCAGCTTCCCAATCAGCATTACCTGTCCCTCAAGCTTCGTTAGACGCAGTCGGTCGGCCGGCTCGACTGCTTGCCACGCGTCGTCGATGTATTTCTCCTCTCCTCCTCCTCCTCCTCCTCCCTTCTCCCCTCGCCTCCTCCACGGCGCATTCTCTACCAACTCGACAAGAAGCGCGGGAACGTTGTGAGTGGTCAGCAGTCGTGACGTCACGCTCAGCGGTAACCTAGCAACGTGTCAACGTCAGCATTAGTTCGTGACGTCACGGTGGTTACCTAGCAACGCGTCAACGTCAGCCCTCGTTCGTGACGTCACGCTCAGCGGTAACCTAGCAACGCGTCAACGTCAGCCCTCGTTCGTGACGTCATGCTCAGCGGTAACCTAGCAACGCGTCAACGTCAGCATTAGTTCGTGACGTCACGGTGGTTACCTAGCAACGCGTCAACGTCAGCCCTCGTTCGTGACGTCACAATCGTAAGTTGGCAACGTATCAATGCTAGCACTCGTTGGTTCTGATGTTCAACACTCGCACCGCTATAGAACGAACACCTGTCTATAAAGGACATCTTTATAGATCGGACACCTGTCTATAAATGACAACCTCTATAGAACGGATACCTGTCTATAAAGGACATCTTTATAGATCGGACACCTGTCTATAAATGACACTTCACTGCGGGTCACCTTAGATTGACCTTTATATAGATGCTACTTGATCTCATTACTCGCTCAGTTTATGGCTTTCAATCGACTTAGATTTCAATGGCATACACTCGCATTGACATTCTGGGGAAAAAGTGTCTTGGCTTAGCAAAAAGGGAGTATGACTCTACTGGTGTAATTAGCTATTGGGACTTAACTCATTTAATGAATGAGTTTATTTATTTATTTATCATTTATTTATTATTTATTTATTTTCTTATTTATGTATTTATTTATGCACTCACATGGACAGATGGTCTGTGATGTAACTGATGATGCTGGTTGCTCGCATGCTGATATTAAACTCCAGCTCCTCATTCTGTCTTATCAGCTCCTGAGAGAGAGAAAGGGGAGTGAGATGGAGAGAGGGAGAGAGAAAGGGGGGGGTGAGAGAAAGAGAGAGAGAGAGAGAGAGAGAGTGTGTGAGAGTGAGAGGCTGTGTGTGTGTGTGTGTGTGAGAGAGAGAGAGAGAGAGAGAAAAAGAGAGAGAGAGAGAGAGAGAGTGT